AGGACGGAGGTCAGATAGAAGAGTGAAGGGGAGGACGGAGGTCAGATAGAAGAGTGAAGGGGAGGACGGAGGTCAGAGAGAAGACTGAAGGGGAGGACGGAGGTCAGAGAGAAGACTGAAGGGGAGGACGGAGGTCAGAGAGAAGACTGAAGGGAAGGACGGAGGTGAGAGAAGACTGAAGGGAAGGACGGAGGTCAGACACTCCTTACTCACAGCGTTGAGATTTTCCACCACGACCCAGTTGCGAGCGCGGATCACCTGCGTCACCTTCCCCTGCTTCCCGACGTCTTTGCCCGCCAGAACCTCAACCTGGAAGGGGAAATAGGAAGACAAAATGGCGGACGGCATCAAAACCACACGGATTCACTCAGAGAGAATCAAACATTCACCGGAGATTCACCCGATGGGTATCTTATCTCCAGGATTATATGTGGACAGAGCCGGGAAGAACTTAACCCCTCGTCAGTTTATATTTTACTGCCTGGGTTCTGTTGGGGATATTTCCCTTCATTTCCTGTCCTGGAGACACAACAGGAAGTGAGAGGAAATCTCCATATAGAGTTGATTGGTTACAATGCACAGCTGCTCCAGTCTTAATAAATCCCCCCCCCCCGATGTTCCCTTTAGATATAGCGCGGTTTAGATAACAGGGCCCTCCACTATCCTCTCTACAACTTCGTGCAGGTCATGTGTCAGGGCGATGCACTTTCTGTCACAGCCCATCGCCATGTCAGGTCATGTGACGTTCACTCACAGCCCAGCGCCAGGTCAGGTCATGTGACGTTCACTCACAGCCCAGCGCCAGGTCAGGTCATGTGACGTTCACTCACAGCCCAGTACAGGTCAGGTCAGGTGACGTTCACTCACAGCCCAGTACAGGTCAGGTCATGTGACGTTCACTCACAGCCCAGCGCCAGGTCATGTGACGTTCACTCACAGCCCAGCGCCAGGTCATGTGACGTTCACTCACAGCCCAGCGCCAGGTCATGTGACGTTCACTCACAGCCCAGCGCCAGGTCATGTGACGTTCACTCACCACGTCTCCCCGGAAATACTTCCACTCCTTGCTGATGGGTTCCACGAATATTTTGGACCTCCTCTTGCCCGGCGGGTTCTTCTTCTGCGCGGCCAACGTAGACGGCCGGCTGGTGCCAAAGCGATACAGAGGAGGCAGCTTGACCACCTTGGAGGCCATCGCTACGAGACCCGTCAGACGCATCTCTGGAAGGGGAAAATCCGCAATGTTTACATACAAAGTGGAGGGGAATTCATCAAAAAGTGGAGCAGACAAAAGTGGGAGCAGTTGCCCATGGCAACCAATCAGCTTCACTGTATATAAATCTATTTCCTGTAATAAAGACCGTTCACTGCCGCTCTCTCTCCTTGTGCAGGGTGACTGGTCTTGTCTCCGCCCCCTCCAGTAATAAAGACCGGTCACTGCTGCTCTCCTTGTGCAGGGTGACTGGTCTTGTCTTCGCCCCCTCCGGTAATAAAGACCAGTCACTGCTGCTCTCCCTCCTTGAGCAGGGTGACTGGTCTTGTCTCCGCCCCCTCCTGTAATAAAGACCAGTCACTGCTGCTCTCCCTCCTTGAGCAGGGTGACTGGTCTTGTCTCCGCCCCCTCCTGTAATAAAGACCGGTCACTGCTGCTCTCCCTCCTTGAGCAGGGTGACTGGTCTTGTCTCCGCCCCTTCCTGTAATAAAGACCAGTCACTGCTGCTCTCCCTCCTTGAGCAGGGTGACTGGTCTTGTCTCCGCCCCTTCCTGTAATAAAGACCAGTCACTGCTGCTCTCCCTCCTTGAGCAGGGTGACTGGTCTTGTAGATCTAAACGAGATTGTACAACTGGATTGTAATGCGAGTTAGAAGGAAAGCAGAGGGGCCCTTAGGAGGAAGAATCCAGGGGCCAATCTGCAGAACCTGCATATCAGGGACCCCCAGCAACTACAGACACACAATGGGGAGAGATGACCTTCGTACAGCACGGAGGGATCACATAAGAATACACAGACTCACCTCCAGTGCAGCAATGACAGCCTCCCCCATACACAGGAAGAGTCCCTATTACATGCGCACATGTCACTTCCACCCTGCACCCCCCACCATAGCTCACATATCACACAGAAACACCATTATAACCCACTCCCCTCCCCTCGCTCCGTCACCGCTGCACAGAAAACCCTAATTGTTCACATTTTAACATTTAATCTTCGTCCTGACCTCAGTTGTGGCCGCAGAGCATCCCGGAAGTTGTAGTTTGTGGGTTTTTTTTTTTCTAGCAAGCTTTATTAAACATGAACAGTCGTCCATTACCTACAACGGTGTCACGTGACGGGGAAAGTTGTAATTTTTTTTTTCTAGAAGAAGCTTTATAGAGTAAACTGTCCACAACCCCATGCGGCCTGTTAGCAACGGTATTAGGTGAATCCGTTTTTTTTTTTCCTCTCTAACAAGCTTTATGCAACAATCTCTGCACAAACAAACGCACAGTGCCTGTATTACCAGAGCTTTTACGTTGGAGGGATAAGCTGTTTTGTTTTCAGCAAGCTTTATTGAACAATGTCTAAATGAACAACGTTATTGAAGTGCCAATGATGAAATGGGTGCAAAGACTCCCATTTTCTGCTGCTCAGGGATGATGGGAGTAGTATCCGGGGATGTTATGATACAACAGCTCAGGTCATGGAAGGAACTTGCTGGGACACATGAGAACAATAATATTATTATTTCCTGATTTATAATGTTTATTTAGGAATGTTTGTTGTTTCTTTGTTGTTGTTTTCCTGTTACAAAATGTAACCACTTCCTGTCAGGAGCAATTTCTATTTGCGCACACATAAAATCTGAATTTTGGGCTGGAAAACATCTTCAGACTCCCAAATAATGATATATTTTCCAAAAGCCGAGGGCCCGTAGAATAAAAAGATGCTAGTTGCAATTTTTTATGTCGCGCGGTATTTGCGCAAATGTTTATCAAACCCGTATTTTTAGGATAAAATACACTAAAATGAAATTTGGTGCACAGAAAACAGAATATAATACCCCATTTTTGGGTAAAATATAAAAAACGGGTCACGTCGGGTAAATTTGATACCAAACATACCAAGCCTTAAGATTGCGTGCGTCCGTGAAACCGCAAAAAAAAAAAACTTCAATACCTAAAATTTCCCATAGGCGACGCTTTCAAAGCTTTCGCTGCTCATCAGTTTAGCGCCAACAGTGATTGATGGGCCGAGAATGATTGCTCTCACTCCGACGTTTGCAGCGACATGTAACACGTGTGGCGCAATTTTCCTTTTTGCACATAGGCGCAAAGACGCGTGTTTGCATTTCTATGTGGGGGGACTTTAAAAAAAATTGCCATCACAGTGGGGGCTTTAAATAAAAAATGAAATGTAATAGCAAATATGTGACAGGTCCTCTTTAAGGATACATCAGGTGACTGCCGAAACCCTAAGGTCACCTAGGGACCCCCCAAAGAAGCAGATAAAGCAGAGATCCGAAGAGAGAGAGCGGAGAGATCCGAAGAGAGAGAGCGGAGAGATCCGAAGAGAGAGAGCGGAGAGATCCGAAGAGAGAGAGCGGAGAGATCCGGAGAGAGAGAGAGAGATCCGGAGAGAGAGAGAGAGATCCGAAGAGAGAGAGGAGAGAGATCCAAAGAGAGAGAGGAGAGAGATCCAAAGAGAGAGAGAGAGATCCAAAGAGAGAGAGAGAGATCCAAAGAGAGAGAGAGATCCGAAGAGAGAGATCCGAAGAGAGATCCGAAGAGAGAGATCCGAAGAGAGAGAGAGATCCGAAGAGAGAGAGAGAGACGCAGATCAAAGAGAGAGAGAGATCCGAAGAGAGAGATCCGAAGAGAGATCCGAAGAGAGAGATCCGAAGAGAGAGAGAGATCCGAAGAGAGAGAGAGATCCGAAGAGAGAGAGAGAGATCCGAGGAGAGAGAGAGAGATCCGAGGAGAGTGAGAGATCCGAGGAGAGTGAGAGATCCAAAGAGAGAGAGGAGAGAGATCCAAAGAGAGAGAGAGAGATCCAAAGAGAGAGAGATCCGAAGAGAGAGAGAGATCCGAAGAGAGAGAGAGAGATCCGAGGAGAGAGAGAGAGAGAGATCCGAGGAGAGAGAGAGAGAGAGATCCGAGGAGAGAGAGAGAGAGAGATCCGAGGAGAGAGAGAGAGAGAGATCCGAGGAGAGAGAGAGAGAGAGATCCGAGGAGAGAGAGAGAGAGAGATCCGAGGAGAGAGAGAGAGAGAGATCCGAGGAGAGAGAGAGAGAGAGATCCGAGGAGAGAGAGAGAGAGAGATCCGAGGAGAGAGAGAGAGAGAGATCCGAGGAGAGAGAGAGAGAGAGATCCGAGGAGAGAGAGAGAGAGAGATCCGAGGAGAGAGAGAGAGAGAGATCCGAGGAGAGAGAGAGAGAGAGATCCGAGGAGAGAGAGAGAGAGAGATCCGAGGAGAGAGAGAGAGAGAGATCCGAGGAGAGAGAGAGAGAGAGATCCGAGGAGAGAGAGAGAGAGAGATCCGAGGAGAGAGAGAGAGAGAGATCCGAGGAGAGAGAGAGAGAGAGATCCGAGGAGAGAGAGAGAGAGAGATCCGAGGAGAGAGAGAGAGAGAGATCCGAGGAGAGAGAGAGAGAGAGATCCGAGGAGAGAGAGAGAGATCCGAAGAGAGTGAGAGAGATCCGAGGAGAGTGAGAGATCCGAGGAGAGAGAGAGAGAGAGATCCGAGGAGAGAGAGAGAGCCGAGGAGAGAGATCCAAGGAGAGAGAGAGAGATCCGAGGAGAGAGAGATCCGAGGAGAGAGAGAGAGATCCGAGGAGAGAGAGAGAGATCCGAGGAGAGAGATCCAAAGAGAGAGAGAGAGATCCGAGGAGAGAGAGAGATCCGAGGAGAGAGAGAGAGATCCGAGGAGAGAGAGAGAGATCCGAGGAGAGAGATCCAAAGAGAGAGAGAGAGATCCGAGGAGAGAGAGAGATCCGAGGAGAGAGAGAGAGATCCGAGGAGAGAGAGAGAGATCCGAGGAGAGAGAGAGAGATCCGAGGAGAGAGAGATCCGAGGAGAGAGAGATCCGAGGAGGGAGAGAGAGAGTGAGTGTGTGTGTGTGATGATCCTGCCAGATATCCAGTAGGATTCCACCTTCCCTTGGTCTCCACCCAGTTCTCTTCTTTAGACTACAGAAGGCCTCATGTTACGGCGGGGAGGAGAGGGAGGTGTTCTGTAACTCTCTTCTAGCATGAGTGTGGCTTCTCCGTAGATACAGTACAGTCAGTGAGCGTTGTCACCCTAGGACAGGAAGTGTGTTACCACCAGACACAGGAAATGAGCCTGACTATATAAAACTAATGCAGCCTCCACATCCAAGGACTGGAAGGTATGAGAAGGGGGGTGATGGACCACGGTACTCTGCAGTAATTGGGTTACCAGGTCTGCTGGTATCCTAGCAACCAATGTCAGGGTTCCTCTTCCTCTGCAGTCACCGGTTGCTAGGACCACTGCGTTGTCCTAGCAACGAGCAATGTCAAAGGACTTCCTTATAAAACAAAAATGATAACAATACTTACACCTAAGTGACTATATGTTAGCAGCTCATGTAAATGATAAACACACAAAACATACCGGGGGGGGGATATTTATCAAAACTGAAGCAGATTTGCACAGCAACCAATCAGCTTCTCTCATTTTTAAATCTTACCTGAGCAAACTGAAGAGAGAAGCTGATGGGTTACCACGGGCAACTGCTCAGGTCCCAGGGTCAGGGCCTTGGGAAGATGGCGGCCCCGTATCTTTTATTTTGGATGCGGGGACAGGTAATGGCGTCCGTCACATTTCTAAGACCCTGTGGGTGGGGTTTTCTGAAGGGGGCCCACATGAGGAAACGAGAAGCGTTGTGGAGGGATGAACCAATACGGCCTCGGGGGGGGGTTTGATAGGACACAGGGAAAG